GCTTTGTAAAAGATACTTTTTGGGCAGTTATGTCAACTACTCAACGCAGTGAAAGTATGCATGCATTCTTTGATGGATATGTTATTCAAAAACCACTTTAAAACAGTTTGTGGAACAATATGAATGCATTGCGTGATAAAGTGGAAAAAGAAAGGGGGTTGATTTTAAATCTTTCAATCATGGATCCCTTTCATAACCACTTATGCATGGAGAAACAATTCCAAGATGCATATACCACTGCAAATTCAAAGAGTTTCAAGAGCTAGCTGCCAAGTCTATTGATTTATCTTCTTTCAAAAAGATTGGTTCTTATATGGAATCTATAATAGAAGAAGATGTTTTCGTTGGAGAGACTCACCGTCGTGTTCCTTTTGTGGTTTGCTTTGATGAAGCAACTGTGATGTTCGTTGCAATTGTCGATTGTTTGAGTTTAGAGAATTTTATGTCGACTGCAATTGTGGTATGATTCGTAAGCAATTTCTCATGTACCAGAAAAGTACGTTTTAAGACAGTGGAGGAAAAATATAAACAGACACATACCAAAGTGAAGATAAGTTATAATAGTTGGAGCACCAATCTTGACGGACACTGATTTGATAGTTATCTAATTTGTGTTGTAGCAGATTTGGCATCAAGTAATGAGGATGATTGTAATATGGTGAAAGAAATTATCATGATATGAAGAACAAATTGATGTCAAATAAATTGTCGGGATTGATAAAGACCAAACATGTCAGGTAATAGAGAATGATTTGCGAAGGTGGTGATATACTTTGAAAGAAGGGAGTAGTAATATTCTTACTCCACGGGCCGTTCGTAGCAAAGGTCGTCCCCTATTCAAAGAAAACAATCGAGGTTGAAAAAATTGTTCGTACAGTAAAGGGAAGAAATTGCGACAAGAAGAAGTGTTGAGTTTGAATCCTGTCTCACACTGATTTAATTAACAACTCAGGTATGTAATTCATTTATGTTTCTTTGTCTAAGTTGATGTTTACATGTGAATGTAAAATGTATGTAGCCCAAGATTGTTATTTTAGAATACATGTGGTTGAGTTCTTGTTGTATGTTGCACAGGGATTAAACGAACTTGAGTTTCAGGAAGTTGGACGCTCATGTTCATCAGCTGAAGGGCAGCAACTCCAGTTGCTTATGATTCTTTATGTTTCTTATAAAAATCATGTATCAAATGATTGTGTATGTATTTAACTGCTTGTGTGTGGTTTCATTGTTGCTTGCCATATTTTTGCTCTCTTAAATGGAGGTTAAGATTGGTGCCTGCATATGCTAGTGATGTGAATGAGTTTCTCATGGAGTGCATTGATAAATGATGCATGTTTTGGTTCGGGACACTAGATTAATTTTTTAATATTGTATTAAGATGTTTATTAGCTGTATTTTTTTTTTTTTTTTTTTTTTTTGTAGCAGGTCTCCAACATCAACATTAATTTCAGGGAGACTATTGGGTTGGTGCAGGATTTTCTGTGCTACAACTTCATTTTTGTTCTTTGCAGTATTGGAAATTTATAGATTTTGGAGTTAGTGAGTTTTTTGTGTGTTGGATCTGCTTTTGAGGTGTTCTGGTGCTACAGCTTTGTTTTTGTCCTTTGCATATTTGGGCATGTTGTTGTTGTTGGTGGATGCTTTGGTGCATGGCCAAATAAGGATTCTGGAGAGCTTTGTTTGGAGATGCAGCAGAAAACTGCATTTTTGCAGTTCCCAGAAGTAAGTTTGGAGCTATGCAGTGCAGTGTTTGTTAAGAAGATTGGCTGTTTGTGCAGTGTGTTCTGGAGTGCAACTTCAATGCTGCATTTTGCTGGCTATTAGTGCAGTGTTTTGGGGGCATAATCTTTGTATAGATGATCTTGCAATCTTTTTGTGATATGTAAATACTAATCCATATTTGGAAGAAACAACAAAAAATTCAATATATGTACCACACACATAATTATATTCATAATAAGTTACTTTTTATTTTTTTGGGTAAACCCAATAATTTTATACAGAATAAAAGAATTACAACCTGGGAAAGGGACTCCCCTTTAGAACCAAGAACCTTGGGCATTCCCAGGGGCAAAACTACAAAAGCTGTACAAGCTAGAAGGAAATCTCAAAAACAAAAAACGCACAAACAACATGGACCCACAAGCGTAACAGACACCCGAAGACTGCACACAGCACCAAAGCAGAGAACAATTGCAGCAGCTTCAAAACTGCACACACACAAGCTACACCAGTTGCAAAATCTCTCGGAAAAAGCAAACAGAAACTGCAAAAACTGCTGCATCTTTGACCAAGCTATAGCACTTCCTCGGCAACAACACATTACAGCATTCCTCCAAAATACTGCATACCCGCCACAAATCCTGTAACCAACAACCAAAAGCTGCACAAACTGCAGAAAACTCCAACAGCAACACACACTGGACAGCCTATACAAACTCAACAACCTTCTACAAATTGCACACACTGCATTACCCACCACAAATCCTGTAACCAACACCAAAACCCCACAAACTGCAGAAAACTCCCATCAGCAAACACACATTGGACAACCTATACAAACTGTAACACTTCTTGAATTTACACACACTGCAAAAAGCAACATCTCTCAAACCTGGACAAACTACCCGAAATGCAGCAATCTCCTGGAACCTGCAAAAATTGAAAAAATGGAGTTTAACTAGAGCTGGAGTTTAGACAACAACCAATCAAACAAGCAAACCATATATTAATATTGGCTTATAAAAGCTAAAAGCAAAAAAGCAATTCAGAATTCCTATTTTTTTTTCCCTCTGTTCTGAGACACTCCAAGGATTTGGGGCTGGTGATTCTGTGGAGTATGAAATAAATGCTTAATCATAACATGTAATCAACTTATACAATATATCCAAACCTCAACCTGTCTCTGACCAACTAGAATTTGAAGGCTTAGGAAATGGGCCATATACTCCAATTCTTAGTCTTCAGAAAATAGTTAAGAATTTTGCAACATGGCATTGTAACCCAAACAAATAGGCAATTCAGCAGTCTATATAAATACACAAAACATACTAATGAACTTACGGGACAAAAACAACATTGTACTCATGCTCAGGGCATATCACACATATATCTGGCATCACACGGTCTCTCTTAGTACCATCTGATCCATTCTCAGATGTTCCATTTGAAGCTGAAAACCAATCGGAACATTAGGACTGAATCATATCCAAACAAATTTTCAAAAACAACAATTACGTAGAAAACCAGCAATTTACCTTCACTGTCTTTCCCTGATCTCTTAGTTGCAGCAGCAAGAACCCTGCATGGGCAAGGTTTTACAACTCAGTTTGTCATGATGAGATAAGAGCAGAGAAGAGAGTAATTCACTATAACAATAATGTTAGATTCTTGAATAGATAAAAAGGAAGTAGAATTGCACATCAGTTTGAAGGACTAACGTAATTGACTGCCTGAGAATTGTAGAAATCATACAGATTAATTTTTGCACAACGATAAGTGATGGTATCAAACCAATATTTTGCCAAGCTAATAGTCCCATCCAATACTGGCTGACTAAGACTTTAAATATGTATTCCAAGTCTATCTGACAAGCAGTTTACAACTATATATGACTGTCAATATATATATATATATATATGAAATGAAAATCAACTTATACAATATATCCACACCTCAACCTGTCTCAAAATTAGCAATTCCAGAAACTACCACCTAAGGCTTCAGCTTCTTTATAAGCTCCACCATCAAATCTGACTGAGGTGGTGCTTCAATTATTGTGAGTACATCAAATCTGACTGAGGCGAGGCATGGCGTGGCAGCAACTGGCGAGGCGAGTCATGGCGGCATCTGGTGAGGCGAGTCATGGCGGCATCTGGTGAGGCGAGTCATGGCGGCATCTGGCGAGGCGTGGAAACAACGATCGCAGTTGGTTTGGCGAGACGCGGCGGCTTCTGGCGAGGCGTGGAAACGATGGGAAGTCTTTGGTTTGTCGGCATCTGGCCAGGCGTGGCGCGGCGGCGTTTGGCGAGACATGGAAAAGAAGATTCGGCTTTGGTTTGTTGGCCTCACAGCGTGTAATGAATTTGGGATAGGATCTGAGAAATTTTTGGGAAATTTTGAGACATTTGACTGTGAGATGAGAGGTAGAGAATGAGGGGATTTGCATCGCAGAATGAATCTAATTCAGGGAGTCTGATTCAAAATTTGAAAAAAATATATATATATAATTTTTAGGAAAACTGATGTGGCAGGTGAGGTGTCATTTGCCACATCAGTTAGTACTTAGAGTTGTACAATCTCATTAGTGCAGATAGCAATGCTCTTTTTACAATGAGGCCTCTCAACCCCTTCCATCTCCTCCTACAAATGCCACTCCTCTACCATCATCTCCACTGCCCCCAGCAACATCGAAAAGTTTTGGTGGTGAGCATCTGATTCAGCAAATATTTGGTTATCATCGGAGTAATGCGCATCTAACAAATTAGGGAATCTATGCAATCCACGTGTACTATTGTGACTCTGATTCATAGTTTTATGAATGATATGATACGCTTATTCCATCTAAGTTTTTTGCCGAAGTGATGATTGGATATCTGCAATATAGCTAAGTATATATATTGTCTTACTTGAACAAATTCTTCTCTATGTAGGAAATAGGCAGATCTCCTCAGAGACAATTATTGCAATGACAGTTCCAACATCACTTGTCTTAATAATAATTTTATCCACTTCATGCTATTGTGTCCTACGTTGGAAAGAAAGAAGAAAGCACAAAGCTGTAAAAGATCATGGAAATGGTGATCATATATAACAGAACTGAATTTAAAGCTTTTGTTTTATCATAATTCCAACTAGAACTAACTTAAAATATTTCACTTTTTCTTTTGGTATAATATTCAACTGGAAATGAGCTTTCAGCGGTGGAATCTCTACAATTGGACTTGCATTCCATTGTTGCTGCAACAAGCAATTTCTCTGATGGAAACAAGATTGGTGAGGGTGGATTTGGCAGTGTGTACAAGGTAAGAAATTTTCCCTTTTTCTTATTTCTTTTTTTGGCGAAACTGGTATGAGCGAGATTTTATCTCAAGAGATCCAACCAACTAAACTAGTTAGTATCGCTTTCCAATGATTATATATGGTCTATATATCTTCAGGGTACACTTCATAATGGACAGATGATAGCTTGTAAGAGGCTATCAAGAAGCTCAGATCAAGGATCAGAAGAATTTAGGAATGAGGTTGTATTGGTAGCCAAGCTTCAACACAGAAATTTAGTGAAGTTATTGGGATTTTGTGCAGAAGAAGAGACTTGTCTATGAATTTGTGCCCAACAAAAGCCTTAACTACTTCCTTTTTGGTTTGATCCTTTTCCTTTAGATCAATATCATATAATAAGTATTTCAATGTCTCATCGCACAGCTGAAGTTGTTTTATTTTGATTGATGTATATACAGATCTTGAAAAACAAGGGCAATTGGATTGGTTGATGCGTTGCAGGATTATAGGAGGAATTGCTCAAGGACTCCTATATTTACATGAGGATTCTAGACTTAGAATCATACATCGTGATCTCAAAGCTAGTAACATTTTGTTGGATGAAGACATGAACCCAAAGATAATAGATTTTGGCATAGCGAGGATTTGTGGGATGGATCAAAGTCAAGGAAATACAAGCAGAATTGTTGGCACATAGTAAGATTTAACACTACACTATTATTATTATTAGCAATTTGGATGCTAGATTGATGTATTGATGTTGCTACATTCTAGTGGTTATATGCCCCCAGAATATGCATTACACGGACACTTTTCGGTAAAGTTTGATGTGTACAGCTACGGAGTTTTAATACTGGAGATCATAAGCGGCAAAAAAAATAGTTCTTTCTACGAAGACCTCTTGAGCTATGTAAGCACAAAATCAATTTTATCTAATGTAGATGCAGCATTTCGTTAATTATGAGGATTAACTAATGTTTGTCATAGGCATGGAGACTTTGGAGGGATGGAACACCGTTGGAGCTAACGGATCAAGCTCTAGGCAATTCTTTTCAAAGAAATGAGGTCACAAGATGCATCCATATCGGATTATTGTGCATTCAAGAAGATCCAGCGGATAGACCTATGATAGCAACAATAGTGCTCATGCTTAATAGTTTCTCGATCACACTACCATTACCAAAACGCCCGGCATTCTTTGTTCGTTGCACAACAGGGCAGAGTATGCCAAAAATGGGTCTAGAATTAGTTCAATCTTCAAGCAAATCCATGCCATATCTATAAATGATGTGCTCATAACTGAACTCTACCCTCGTTAGCACAAGGAATAGGCAACTTCAACATTTTTTATCATTCAATATAAATAAGACTTGTTTTTTAATTTATGAACAACAAATTTATTGAATTTTTTGCATAGTTTACACCGGTGATTTTGGTAATGTTCGTTCTTAAGACATTTTATATATATGTACAATTTTTTTCTTGCGAAGTCCTGATTTTTTAATATCTGAACTTTACCTCTCACTAACAAGAGTTAATTCCCATATGCAAAAGCTGTCAATAGACAGAATCTTGTTAACTCACTTCAAGAAGTGAGACTTCACAACATGTAAACGAGTGTCTAGCTTAGTAATTGAAGCCTCATTCAACAAAAAATGGACATAATTTTCGTTGGTATCCAACAACATATGATTATAAATCAGCTACCTCTGAGTTAGATTGCATAAAAAAATGCAGGTTTTGAGGAAACTGGGAGAGACAGAAAGCAACCCGTGAGCATGAGAACAACTGGCCATTGTAGGTCTATTCACTACTAGAATAAAAAACCAACACAATGTGAATATATCTCATCATTTCACTACCAAAATCAACCCTGAGACTGGGATCTATCAGATTTACAACTGTCCCTCTCTTTCAACTTCTCCATGCCTGCAAAAGTTTTGAAAAGATTTCATGGCCATTGATACTGAGTTTTATCTATATGGGCATTCCACTGAACAGCCATATAATCCAGTGTTAGAAATATTTTATATTTCACATAAGGTGGTCCATGTATTAATTTTATCCTATGGTTGTTTTGAAATAATTAAATTAACTAAAGGGCATGATGGTTATTTTCCTTTGATGGGGATGTTATTATAGTTAATTAAAACTGTCGTTTGGGAGTTAATGAATAACTACCGTATATAAAGGTGGTCTTCTCTCTGTTCCAATGTACACATAATACTTTCTTTTCCATCAGAAGAAGAACAAGCAACTTACAGAAAGGGAAAAAAAAGAGAGACACACTACCTTATTCTACAATCTCCATTAACAGATTACTCATGGATTCAAGTATGTTTTATTGTGGTTTATAAATAGTGAAAATGGATTAAAGTTTCAGATTTTGGGATTTAAGATTATGCAATTTTAGGGCATAGAAATATGACTATATTATTGATTCTTTACCATTGATGGAATTGATAAAATTGCTATTAAGTCTTACATGTGGTATTAGATCATCAGGTTTAGAAACTGATGTATTTTCCATTAAGTTGTTTTTTAATATATTAGGGTTCTTATGAGATGAAGAAATTGTGCGTTTGGAAATTGACAAATGAAAGGGCTGTTTAATTTGATTGAGTTTGTAAATCTATTAAGTGGTTGGCCGAAATCAGATTTTCTTATGATGAAATGTGATTTTCCAAACTAGTTTTTCAATAAAAATTTCCAAAAATTCAGATTCCAAAATTTTTGGAAATTCGGGTCAAATATTGACCCATATGTTGATCCAACCCATTTTTCCTTTAAGGCCTATTTGTTTTAATCTATATAAACCCAAATAAAAGAAGCACAAGCCATATTTTTAAGTAAGCCCAATTCAAACCCAAACCCATTAAGAATAACCCATAAAGAAGCCCAACCCATTTAGTCAAACAGGTAAACCTGATCCAATCAGCGATTCGAATTGGTAAAAGGGTCAAACTGGTCAACTGTCAAAGTTAACGGTTAACCATCAAAGTTAACGGTAAACCGTCAAATTTAACGGTTGACTGTCAACATTAACAGTCAACAAACAAATTTAATGATCAATGGTCAACGGGTCGAATTGACCTAATTTTGACCTTGGATAATAGTACAGTTATTATTTAAGTTTGATATTATATTATGTATAATTTGTTAGCCATCGAAGTGGCCAAATTAGAATGGTTATCCTATAGATATCAAACTAAGTTAGATTTAATTATTTATGATCGTTAGATGCTTTAAAGAGATGACATGATGTGGTTGGCATGAGTAGTTTGAAGTTCATAGATTATAGGATAGTTAAGGATTGCCCAAAGGTAGATTAGTTAATCCTATAATTATGAACATAACTATGGTTAATTAATGTACTTGACTACGTGTGTTTAGTATATCCAAAGATAATGAGCATACCTAACAAAAGTACATTTGATTACCAATTAAGAAAATTGCACCAATTAAGTTTAATTATTGTACATTGTTATATCTCCCAAAGGAGATTTTCAATATACATTTATATTTTAATAATAATAAATTTTAATATCTGAACCTATGTATTAGGTATAAAACTCAAAGCATTAATGTGTAACCATAATTTTGTTTTTGAAGCATTTGCTTTTCATGCCTAGTCTGTTGTTAAGTTTAATGAATTCAATTATAATGAGTGGAGTGAGCAAGTCGAGTATCACTTCAGTGTTCAGAATCTCGACCTTGCACTCATGACAGAGAAACCAACTGATCTCACTAAGAATAACACTGATGAGGAGATGTCTTTCCCTAAAGAATGGGAGAGATCGAATAGATTGAACCTAAAGTTTTTACGGATGACAAATAGTAAGTTAAATTAAGACCTCATTTCCTGCCACAGAATCTACTAGAGAATTTACGAGATTAGCCAAAGAGACTTCTCAATTTGAGGCTGCTGACGAGTCTCGTACCAGGGCATTAATGAGTAGGCTGACCACCATGAAATATGATGGTTCTCGTAGCATGTATAAGCATGTGGTTGAGATGTCAAATATAGCAGCAAGAATTAGAAACATGGGAATGTCTATAGACGTAAATTTCCTAGTTCAGTTTGTTATTAACTCTTTACCTATTCAATTTAGTCCATTTCAAATTAATTATAATACAGTTGAAGATAAATGGACTATGACTGAACTTCAAACTAAGTACAAAAGGAGGAAAGATTAAAGAAACAAGGAGTTCATTTAGTTAATCTAGTGGGCCCATCTGGAGTTAAGAAGAAATCCAACAAGAAGTATGGAAAGGGCAAAAGGCCATTGAAGATTAATGAGTCTTCTACCAAAATCTATAAGAAGGATAAGACTAAAGAAAAGTGTCATTTCTGTAAGAAAGTTGGACACTATATGAGGGACTGCCTGAAACGTAAGGCATGGTTTGAAAAGAAAGGGATTCCTTATGACCCAAACCATAAACGGCAATGAAAGATTTGTATACATGGGAAATCGGGTCAAAGCACAAGTTGAAGCTATTGAAACCTATCGTTTAATTTTAAGTACTGGACATCATTTAGATTTGTTTAATACTCTTTATGTAAAAAAGTTATCCTGTAATTTAATATCTTTATTTAAACTTGATTTCGAAGGATCTTCTTTTAAATTCGGGAATGTTTCAATTTATTTAAACATAATTGTTCAATTCGTTCTGGTGTGCTTTGTGATGGATTGTATAAATTACATCTTGGTAGTTTATTTGCTGAGACATTGTTGACCTTGCATCATAGTATAAGAACAAAATGTGCTTCTGTGGATGAGAAATTTGCTTATTTATGGCATAAACGTTTAGGCCACATATCAAAAGCAAGAATGCAAAGATTAGTAAAGAATGAAGTTTTACCTTATTTGGATTTTACTGATCTTGGCATTTGTGTGGATTATATTAAGGGAAAACAAACCACATCCACAGTAAAAAGAAAAGCAGGAACTAGAAGCACATGACTCCTTGAACTAATACACACAGATCTATGTGGTCCTTTCAAAATACCTTCTTTTAGTGGGGAAAGTTATTTCATCACTTTTATAGATGACTTTTCACATTATGGATATGTCTATCTATTGTGTGAGAAATCTCAGTCTATTAATATCCTAAAGGTATTCATTACTAAAGTTGAGAGGCAATTAGATAGAAAGGTGAAAGTATTATGATTAGATAGAGGTGGTGAATATTATGGTAGATACAATGAATCTAGACAATGTCCAAGTCCATTTGCTAAATTCATGGAAAGTCAAGGCATATGTGCTCAATACACAATGCCAGAAACACTGCAACAAAATGATATTGTAGAAAGGCATAACCGTACGTTAATGGATATGGTTAGGAGTATGTTGAGTAACTCCTCGGTTCCCTCATCATTTTGGATATATGCATTAAAGACTACTATATATTTATTAAAAAGGGTTCTTAGTAAGGCAGTTCCAAAGACTCCTTTTGAACAGCAAACATAAAGGAAACCTAGTTTGAGGCAATTACATGTTTGGGGTTGCCTAGCAGAAGTCAGGATCTATAATCCACATGAAAAGAAACTGGATTCAAGAACGATCAATGGATTTTTTATTGGTTATCCAGAAAATATAAAGGTATTGTTCTTACAGTCCTAACCATAGTATGAGAATAGTTGAAACTGGAAATGCAAAGTTCATTGAGAATGGTGAAACTAGTGGAAGTATTGAACCACGTAAAGTGGATATCCAAGAAGTCTGGGTACAGTTTCCCGCACCTATGAATTCTATTGAGGTTGTAGTTCCTGTAGTTGTCTGACATTTTGATAACAATCAAGAATAACAAATAATTGAGCAAACACTCCCTAATAATGTAATAGTCAATAAACCTATCATGGATGAACCACATGACGTAGTACATGAACAATAAAAAGTGACATTAAGA